CTGGGAGTTGAAGTCCACTCATCTTAAAGTGGCCAAGTTTGGACAACACTGCCTTATAATATAGAATATTTGAGCAATTTTTAACTGAAAGCTGCCTCAAGAACTTTGTTGAAGAAGAAATTACAATTAATACCATATATGGAATGTTTTTGAATATTCACTAAAGTACCACATATATCATATTAACTATAAAAAACACTGAAAATCCTATGACATACTTTGAGCCTTTGAGATTGGTTAGTATTTGAAAAGAGAAAAAGCATAAGGAGCAGCCAAAATCTCTCCAGAAGGTATAGCTGATCACCCTCAAGCTCTGATATTTGAAAAGAGAAAAAGCATAAGGAGCAGCCAAAATCTCTCCAGAAGGTATAGCTGATCACCCTCAAGCTCTGATTGACTGTTGAAAGGAGAGAGATGCCGGACTTAAGTGCCATGAGCCCTATCACAAGCTAGTTCCTAAATGGAGAACATTTTCACTCCCAATTCCAGATGCATATGAGTCATCTGCTTCAAAGTTAAAGAATAAATTCAGCAGGCAATCAGGTTTCCTTAGCCTTCAGAACTATGTAATATTAGATTCTGCCAAAGTAGTACTCAATGGGTCACACATATTTTCCAGCCCTGAAATTTCCAGGTTCAATTTTCATGATGATCAAGGTTCTGTTTTAAACTGGTCTAGAGGTGCCACACTTAGGCAGCATCTCTCTCTGCAAACATAAGGAGTTCCAGAAGCTTGAAAATAAAAAATCTGCCATATCATGTTTGTGGTTGGTCTAGTCCAGTGTCATGTAATTTGATTAACAGCGGTTCTCTGAAGATTTAGTTACCGTACAAGGTATTTGGCATGGAGTGTCTTTTCCCCTCCTCTACCTCAGTGCCCACATATGGGTCAAGCTCACATATCATGCTAAGCCAAAAAGTGATTTGTTTGGTTTGGGCTTATTGTCTGGTATAAAAATAAGACATTTCAGTTGAGCTCCACTCCTGGTGAATACCTGGACACAGCAGTATCCATAGCAAACTATGACGACATGAAAATAACCCATGTGTTGTGATGTCATCACTCAAATGTCACCTTGATGTACTTGCCTCCTGATGTTATGGCATTTGCGTGATGATGTAGTCACACACATTGTCATTTGCTCCTCCTGGCCTAGTCCTGCAGATGCCATGCACGGACATATCCATTCAGTTTTCTTAGCAATGGTACAGACATGGTTTGCCACTCTTTTCTTCCAGGATGTTTTCTTGGTGTTTCCAGGCAGTTCCTATCCAAATGTTCCTATCCAAATACCCAGCCAAGATTAGCTAGGTATTGCTATCTGTATATCCTACTCATTATGAATTATTCAGCAAAACGTGTTTGAACAAAACATGGCTTAGTGCAATGTTTGAAGCCAATCTTCACATCAAGGCTGATCAGATTATTACAACATCTAACACAAAGTGTCCCACGAGCACCTTCCTTCATGTCAGGGCTCAGGTAAGGTGAGATACTTTCTAAGATACTGAGCCGTGCTATTGCTGTTGCTCTTAAGCCGTCTTGTAAAATTGATTCCAGCAGCCCAATTGCTTTTCAAATGACCAGTATTAGGTTCCATTCTCAGGTTTCTAAAAATGCTTACTGTGAGGCTCAGTTTCCTTGGGTGCCCAAGGGTTTTGCCCAATTGTTGTAACTAGATTATATAGCACCCATCTCTCCTAACAGCTTTGCCTAATTGTTGCTGAGGGGGAGATACAAGAAACATAAGAATCATAGCCTCAGTTAAAAACCAGCCAAACACTTGCTCTTCTGTGTATCTGACTTCCTCCTTTGGTCAAGGCAACCGTTCAGCATGACTTCCTGCCTGTGGCTTCTTTGCAAATCAAAACTACTCTCCTGATAGTCTAGATTATAGGCAATTCATATTTTTCTCTCTAAAAACAATTAATTACCCCTTCTCTGAGTTTTTTGGCATGATTCAATTGCTTTATTTTACAAATTCTTATGTAGACTATTATGATTTCAAAGCTCAGCTTGACTAGGTTCTTCCATCATACCAAGCCATGATTTTTTTTAGCTATGTTTTGTTGAATAAATTGGAAAAATTGGAGGAGGCAGCCCCTTCATTAACCTGAAGCCATACTGAGTTCATCCTCCCCCCACTCCTCCAAGGCAGAATCTCTCAGAGACAGCTAGCTGCTAAGGAAAGAAAATACTGTACTATAAATACCCCAAAACTACTTCAGCAGGCTGGAATTGGCAGTATGGGAGCAGAACTGGTAGACAGGAAGAGGAAGAAGTGCAAAATTGCCTCATTGGGGAAGAAAGCAGTAGTGGAAGGATACTGCAACATGGCAGGGTAGGGGGAGACAAAGTGGGAGCAGCCCAGAAGAAAGAGGTGACAAAGGAAGGGAAGTGGGAGGAAGGAGGCCACCAGGTGGAGACCCCCTCAATTCTGGTACCCCATTGGATAAAACATGTCCACCCTTTGTAGCAGAAAATCTTGTGGCAGAAGTTTATTATACAAAGGTTGTTGGAAATCAATGATAGCAGTCCATTGAGTTCCTGAAGATCTAAGTTTTGTTCAGATATGATATGCCACCTGATTGTAGCAGTCAGCAGCTGAGTTTACACTTCAATCTAAGGCATTTCT